GTGTAGGGATTATTATATGCATCTCCTTCACCTTGACTGATTTTGTTGGTTGAGAGGATGGAAATTAAAGAAAAAGTAGATCAGAAAATGTGAATGCACGAAAAATATATAAGAAATTAAATATGTTTTTATCATAATTTTAAAATTATTGGGACCAATAATTGATTTAGGTATAAATACTAGGTTGGTAGGTCATTAGTTAAACTAATACATAATGTTTTAATAATCTGACTAATCATTAAATTAGTTAAAATATTAGGAGATGTCAAATTAATAAGTCATTAATTGAATTAGATTATTGATGATCTGATCTCTATTAATTTTTTTTTTTTTAAATTATGTCATATATTTTATACCTATAAATTTTAATAAATTTTATATCATATTTTAAAGAAATCTCTAAAAGCATTATAATTAATATAATAATAATAGAACAATCAAATTGTAAATTTTTTGAACTGCTTAAATTTATATATAATTAAATATATAATTTTTAAATTTAAAAATACTATATAAATTATTTAAGTCAATTTTATAATAATAAAATATTTAGTTTAGTACGGGTGTGTATTTAGTTTAGTGTGTGTGTTAAATTGAAAAAAGCGCCATCATAATTATCAATTATTGAAATTGTGGGAGACCATAATCCATCATATACAAGAATTGATTGTAATTGTTTTTGCAATATAAAATATTCTAGCCTTTAAATATTCGATTATGTGATGAGCAAAAACCGATCTATGTAATATAATAATTAAATATGTAGCATACATAAATTCTTTATGAAGAGCACGAGCAACATGATTGTTTTACAATTTCTAATTTGTAGCACAATTTCTTTTCTCCATATTAAGTGGACGTCTCAAACACGTGGGTTGCACAATTGTTCTCTCTTCAAATATTTGCTCAGACTTCTACTGATACCAAACAATAGAATATGTGTACACTTGTATAGTTCTATTCTAACAAACAATAGAGTTAATAAGTGTTCAGTTTACAAGTTTTTTGTTTTAATTAAATGGTTTTCAAAGTTGTGGAACGTGTAAATTGTACACTTATTAACTTTATTGTTTGTTAGAATAGAACTATTACAGTGTTATGTTAATACTATCTTATCTTTTAACATTATTATTATTATCAATAATATTATTACAATTTTGATCATTTGGTTTTTTATTGAAATATATAAAAGATGATATTGTATCAAATTTGATATCATTTTATTTGTGCATATATTATTCACCAAACAATATATAGAACTAAATATTATAATATATTTTAAACATTTATCTTGTATTATTCTCCTTATCATATATCTTAATATATATTAAATATATCTTAAATGTGTAAATTAAAAAGGTATAACATGCACAACATAAATGATTATAAAACATGTGTTTCACAAGACATAATTTGAGAAGTTTATAAGTTTCTTTTAATTAACTTAATTTTTTTTAATTAAACTAAAATTATTTGGTATAAAAGCTTATTTTAAGAGTTTATAGTATAATTTCATGAACCAATTGAAGTAGGTAATAACTTACAAATTCTTAATTTTTAGTTTCTTTTTCTTTTTTATTCTTATTAATTTACTTTAAATTCTTTTTAATCTTTTTAATTTAAAAATTATTTTACTTACGTATTATTCTCTCTCTTTCATTATTAAATAATTATTTCATTTTACTAATTAATTAACATATCAATTAATCTCACCAAAAACACTTTTGATTGAATGAATTAGCTTATAAATTTTTAAATTTCTAATCACTAGTTTATAACTTATAAACTTTCAATTAGATTACAAATTTTCGGCAAGCTTCTAAATCAGTTTTACAAATACACCCTAAACAAAAAGAGTATGAATACAATCAACGTCTATATCCAACTAATGGCATTGTAAAGAGCAACGCCGGTGGATTTGCTTCAAACTAGAGTACTCTCCATTATTAATTTTCAACTATATATTTATATATAAAATCTGTTTAGATAAAATCTATTAAAAATACTCTTTATTTTAAATATCAAAGCCGTTAAAAAAGCACTTCTAACTTATGTTTTAACATGATCATAAGTTATGAGACAACTACTAACAATTGTGTAACAATTCTAAGCCGTTTAAGAAAACACAGATATATCCAACGATGGAACGATAGCTTGGTATGGTATGGATTTGGTGTACCTTATCCATTCCCTTGTTTTATATGAATTAGAAATAAAAGGATTCAATTGACTTACTCGGTTACTCCTTTACACGTAACAACTGGGTTGAATCTCGAATCATAGATGAATCCAAACACGTCATTTTCGATAGCCTTGGTTTTTATTCTTTTAAATTCTTTTTCATGGCCTAACTCTTCGCCAAGTGCCAACTCATCGTACACAGTTTACAAAGGTTTATCTACAATGGTCTATTATTTGTGTGACTATCAATGATCCTTATAACAGGAGCTTTGTTCTCCTTTTCTTAAGGTATTGTGCAATATTATGCCCACAGTGTATATAGTTCAGGTATTAAACAAAATTAACTCTAAATAACTCTAAAAAAAAACTAATAATTATCATTTATAATTAAGATTAAAAAATTTAATAAATTACTTAAAATTAAGATCGAAAGTAGTATATATACATGAAGGCTTATAACCCGACGATTTGGTTTGATTTAGGATTTATGGTTTCTTAAATTGGTTCCGGTTGGAAGGTGTATGCGTGAAGGGAAGCTGAAAGATGAATTTGGTGGAGTCTTTGAATGGGCATAGATAGTGGAATTGTGTTACTATGGTGAACATAGACTTTCGTGGTGTCTTAACAACAAGAGGTAATCAAATGCTTTACAATTTAATAAATTTATTGGTATGATACGTGGAGTAATTTGGAATATTGTGTTGCCTCTATTTTTTGTCCCATAGTGTGTAAGAAGGAAAAGAAAACTATTTATGATTTCGAGCATGAGAATGCATGCCAAACAATATGTACCCAGTCACTGTGTGATAATGTTTATGCATTTGCAGTATTTAGCGAGGAAAAAAAATGATTTTGGTGGTGGACATAAGGTATAGTTCATTTAGGGTAATAGATTTAGTTGTTAAATGTACTTTTTAAAATAATATCGTTTTATTAAAAAGAGTTAAAATATTTTTTTATATATAATTTAATTTTAAAATATTTTACATCATTTTAAAAGAAAAGTATATGTGAATTTTGTTTTTCTTTTTTTAAAATATTTTTACATTCATTTTGAAAATCAAGAAAATGCATTTATGAATTTAATTTATTGTTTTTGGAAAACATATTTTCACTGTTATTACTCTATTTATGAATTTGGTATGATGTTCTGATCTATGTATTTGAGTATGGGTACTTATGAATTATGTGAAAACCTTTCCTTATATAGCAATATGAATTTTGTATTTTTTTTTATGAGTATGAGATGCTATGAGTGAGTCATGTGTATGATTGATTGTGTATTAGGTATTCTGATCATGAATTATGTGAAAAACTTTATTGATAGAGCATTTTGGATTTTGTACATTTCTTATCGGTGTGTTATGAGATGTGATGGTCATTGGTTTGTATCTAGTAGCCAAATTTTTTCAATTTGTTTTTTGATTTTTTTACATTTTAATAATTTCTTTCTTTTATAAAAAAATGGAGAGAGTTCCATCTCTATGAAACAAATCAACAAAAGAACTTGTTTTTTTTTTTTGTATTTTTTTATGTACAATAAAATAAAGTTTAAACATTGGTAAATTGGATCATATATAAGATTGATTGTATATTGGGATATTATAGAATTAAGGTGATGAAGTTATTGGGATGTGATCAATGTGATGAGGATGAATTGTTGAGATGTGATGATGTATATTATAATGAATACTATGATGAGATGACTACTAGAATTTCTCTTATTACATTCAACGGATCACTACAATAAAAACGCAAATTCCTGACGGAAATATAAATCTGTCAAAAATTTTCGAGGAAAACTT